CGCACATACTCCAGGCTCACCACGTGGGTGGGTCCAGACTCTCCTTCCTTGCTGAGGTGGGTTGACCGTGCGGCCCATTCCCGCAGAGGCGGGCACTTGGGGTGCTTCCGCTTAGGCTGTTGTGAATAAAGCTCGTGAACGTAGGCGCACAGCAGGGGTGGGGGACGTCCAGCCCGCGGCTGTATACAGAAGGCCCTCGGAATCCTGTGGTCTGGCCCTGCCAGGGCATCGGGGTGAGCTAGTTACCGTGTGACAAACACCGCAGGCTGAGTCTTAAGCTGATACTGTGTTACAAACACCCAGCGCCCTGGGCAAGAAAAGGCCCACCCCGGCGGACAGCTGTCTGCTGAGCCCTGCGGCCGCTGCTTTTGGGGAACACCCGGGGGTGCGGGCCTGTGGCAGTTCTGTTGGATTTGCTGAGGACCGTGTGCTGTTTGCACAGCGAGGCTGCACCTTCCAGAGCTCCCTCCCCCAGGCAGGCACCGTGTCCTGGCCCGCACTTGGTCAGCTGGAAAGGACACCGGAGGCGTGACAGATGTGGCGTCTGTCAGCACCGCCCTGGAAGGCCTCCGGGTCTCCTGCTCGCAAAGCGAGCCTGCGAGGTGCCCAGGCCAGACAAGACGGAGCCCCGGGCCTGCGTCGCCAGCCTGTGGGACACCAAGCACTCTGGACATGAGCCAAGGGGTGAGGGTCATCTTGGCAGTGCCCCCGCCAAGGCTCCCCATCTGATGGCCTCGCAGCTGCCCAGGACCATGGCCGTCCTGAGCGGTAGTGCCTCCTCCCTCCGCCCTCATAGCTGGACCGGCCCCTCCCCCTCCTCAGGACACGCCGCCCCCCCTCAGCCCCCTCTGCACCCAGTGTGCCCTGGAGCCTGGGAGCCACAGCTCCGGGCTTCCACCCCCGATGCAGCTGCACTTAAAGGAAACCCCCACTGCCCGGCCCCCCCCCCCCAGGCCTGGCTGCAGAGCAGGGGTGGAGGAGGGCTAAAGCTGCTCGGCCTGGCTTCCCAGCCCAGACCCCCGGAGAAGGGGTGTGGGGTGGGGGTTGCTGTGCATTCAGAGTGCTCGGGGCAGAACCGATGTGAAGATAGCTGCCGCTTTGCCTGAGCGGACACCGACCTGGTCCTCTGTCCGGGCAGAAGGAGGTGCCACGGTGCCCTTGCCGGACAGCCTGGCGGGGACGGGCGTGGGCGTGTTAGTTCGGACAGAAGCAGCCCCTTGGGCCTGGCTCTGCTGGCTTCCAGCACCGGGACGTTGGTCAGACCTCCTCTTGTGTCACCAGCATTGGCGCTGATGGCGGACGGGCGTGCTCTGAGCGCTGCCCGCCTGAGGACGGCAGCAGCTACCGGCCTGGTGCCCTGGGCCTCAGCCTAGATTTAGCCTGCTGGCCTACAGGGTGTGTGGCTGTGCTGCCCCCGCGGGGGAACTGCTAGGACGAGGCAGGTGACATGGGCCTGCAGTCCCTTGGGAACCGGGCTGTCACGTGGTTTGCATTCTGCGGGACAGCCCTTTGAGGGAGCTGGCCTGCCCGTGGAGGAGCAGAGGTGACAGGAGGAAGCTGTCGCAGGTCTGAGCCCAGCTCCGGGCCGCTGACGGCTTCCGGAGGAGGGGCTGAGCTGTGGAGAAGCGGCATGGAGGGAACACAGGCCCGCCGGGCACCGGCCAGCTCACAGGCCCGCCCGCACTCCCCTCTTCACCGTCCGGAAGCGCAGCGCCTCTAATTCGGAGGCGGCGGAGGCGCAGAGCGGTGAAGTGCTGTGTCCAGTTGTCAGCTCCTGGGGGAGCCAGGCCTGGAACCCCAAAGGCGGGTCCGGAGCCTTTGCACCAGAGAGGGCTTTTCCAGCAGGGAGGGGCGGGATGGGTCTGCAAGGCCCCTGGACGGCAGGAGGAGCGCGGCTGACCCTGGCGGGGCGCACTGCCAGGCCGTCAGGTTCTGTGGGCCATTCATGCTGAGAGAAAATTGCTGAGGTTGGGTTCGCCACGAAAGGATGTTAAAAAAATTTAAAGGCCAATTAACTATCACCATGTCACAGAAAAAAAGATGGTCTTAAATACGCCCAGATAGTAAGGATGAGGCCGTCCTTTAAGTGGCCAAGTCCAGCTTTCAGGAAAGGCTGTGTCGGCCTTCCCTGTGCTTCTACATTTCACCCTGGACTGTGCCACCCCGGTGAGAGGCCTGTCGCTGAGGGAGCCACAGAGGCTGGGCCCGTGGAGTCCTGGGTGGCAGTGGCCCTGGCCAGAGCCTGGAGCAGGGAACCCTGAGCCCCCACTGATGGAGCCGCCGCCCCACACTGACGACCATTTCTCCGGACCGTTCTCGTCCTTTTCCTGGTCAGGTGCTGGGGGCCAGCATGAGGGGGCCGTGGGAGGCAGGAGGAGCCCAGGCCCCAGCACTGCTCACTTCCTCTCCTGGAGGCAGCGTCCTGGCCAGAGTCCAGGGCCGTGGACAGGAGCGCTGGCCTCGTGTGTCTCAGAGACACCGTACCCTCCCCCAGGACTTGGAGCAGTAGCACACCTATTTCCAAAGGTGGGAGTCTTCTTTTCTTTTAAGAGAACATGAAGGGAAAACAAACCTGGAACCCGTTTCCATAGGCTTTGGGCTGCGTACCCGCTGTCACTGCATGCTGGGGGGGGGGGGTCCCCCACCTCCTGACAGTGTGTTTCCTGCTTTAGTTGTACTTGAGTTGAACTTTCTCACCAAATCTCATTCCCCCAAGTAAAGTTCTGTTGCTTCTGCGTCCCCATCCATCCATCCGGATCAGACAAACACTTTGGCCTTGGCACACGTGAAGGGGAGGACCGCCCCAGGGCTCTGTGCTGTCCGGAGTGCTGCCCAGTGCGGGGACAGGACAGGTCTGTGACCACGGGGAGAAGATGGGAGCGCGTTGGGACTGTCCGCGATGGCTGCTCGCGGTGGCGGCCGAAGCTGTGCTCGTTAGCCATGTCGGACACCGCCCTCCGGTGGACCTCATGCCCTGGACCCTCAGAGCCGGCTGTCCTGGCGTTGGACGTGGGGACAGACTGGAAGATCGGTCTGTGTGCTTTCCCGTCTGACCCTTCAGGGCGTGGTGCCGGAGGGCCGCTGTCGTTCACAAGTCGCTGAGCCCTGGCTCCCATGAGGCTTAGCTGTCCCAGGCAGAGGCTGAGGCTGCCGTGATGGGAGCCTGGCTCCTGTCCCTCTGATTGTGGCTTCAGATGGAGCCTCCTCTCTGTAACCGAAAGCAGCCGAGTGTCCGCACAGCGCCCACCGCACAGTGCCCACGGCTGGCCCTGCTGCTGCCCGGCGCAGGGACCCTGGGGAGCACTTGGAGGGGACGGGTGCCCCACGGCCCACGCATCCCCGGCCCTGCGGGGGCCTGCCCTGCGCCTGCTCCCGGAGGGTCGGAGTTGATGGAAATAAATGGGAAAAGTGATCTCGGTGAGGTCAGTACCCCCTGATAGGTCAGAAGCCTCTGTTCTTTCCGGGTTTGTTTCACCCAGATGTGGTGCTTGAGCTGCTGACAGCTCCCCGAGGCAGATTGCCGATGCTGAGGTTCAGGGTGAGCGGCAGGCTCGTGGGGGGCGCAGCTGGCACTGCATTGCAGGCCTCACTGGGCCCGTGAGGGGGCGAGGCCAGGCTTGAATTCCTGACAGGCAATGAGGTTCGCCGCAGCCCAGCCCCTCCGAGCCTCCCGGAAGCGGCACCCAGCTTCCTTGCCCGGGAGGCCCTGGAAACCGTGTCCTTGATTTGCCGCGGCTGCGCCGAGGAGAAGCTGAAGGGCTGGGCTCGCCCTGCCTGTGGCCACCGCCATGCTGGGCAGTCAGAGGTGGGACGTGCCAGCCGGATCAGAGTGGCAAGGATGGGGGATATCCCGCTGTGGTTTGGTTTTTCTTTTTGGACCAAGAGCTTCCTGGGAAAATATCAGGAACAGATTTGAGGCTCCCGGTGACTTCTTAAAGAAGAAACTGCTCACCCCTAAGACCAGGACGGCTCGAGCTCAGCTCTTCCCCTTTCGCTGGCAGGTCCCGGCATCGCCATCTCGGTTCCTGTGTCGTAAGCCCGCCCTCGGCCCACAGCGCCGGTGGGAGGAGGGCCTGCAGCCGTGGGCCCTGACTTGGGCCTCAGCTCTAGGGTCTGGTCTCCTCACACAAGTCCTTCCCTCTTCGCTGTGCCCGCCTTGTCATCGGCCAGCCACATGGGCCGGCTGGTTCCCTGGGTTCCAGTGTGGCCATTGGGGTACAGAACCGCCCCAGTGTTGCGGGGTGAGCGTTGCTGGCGGAAGGCAGCGTGTCACAGGGCAGGTGGAGGCGCCGCGGAGTGGCTGCTGGGGATGAGTGCGCATGTGGGCAGTTGTTTTGAAGTGGCTTTAGCGGTTGGGTTAAGGAAGAGGTCTCTTGGCAGGAGGAAAAGGTTGAGGGAGCTGTACAATTTCCTCCCATCAATAAGCCGCCTGTGCACCTCGCCCAGGCAGTGCCTGCAGCCGCAGCCTTCCAGAGAGCTGCTGAGGATGGAGTACGGAAACCCCACCCCGTTTACCTACTCACCCACCCACTGCCCGGGGAGGGACGCGGTGTGTCAGCACAGAGGCTGGCCCTTCTGTGTCCAGAGGCAGACTCGCGTCGAATGGGGGCCCTCGTGTAATCAGGGGACCTGGGCCGTGAACTCTGGACCGTTCTGTTCTCTGGTCTGGGTGTGGAGAGGTTAGACTGGGAGGAGGCGGGGCACTCAGGTCCTCTCACAGCCTCCCACCCGAGGCAGGGTTAACAGGCAAAATGCCAGCACCAGGCGGGCCTGCTGGTCCTTTCAGGAAGCAGGCGGCCAGTGCGGATCTCAGAGGGCGGCCCGCTGAGCTGGGCGAGAGCCCGCACCTCTGGATGCGCTGTCCAGCGAAGGCGGGGACTGCTTTGGGGGGTGGTGACGGGCCAGGGCCGTCCAGGTTGCCTTGGGGAAATGCTGAGGGGATTGTGGGAACTGAGTCCGACCCTCGGCTTTGGAAATGACTCTGACCTTTGTTGTTGTAGGAAGACATGGCTGCTCACGTAGGCGCTTCCCGGACTCCCCAGGAAGTGATGGAGCATTACGTAAGCATGTACATCCACGGCAACCTGGGGAAGGCCTGCATCCCCGACACCATCCCCAACCGGGTGACCGACCACACCTGCCCCAGTGGAGGCCCCCTCTCTCCCAGCCTCACCACCCCCTTGCCTCCCTTAGACATCTCGGTGGCCGAGCAGCAGCAGCTGGGCTACATGCCGCTGCGTGACGACTACGAGGTCGAGTACGACCAGGACGCCGAGGCGCTCGTCAGCGGGCTCTCGGTCAACTACGACGACGAGGACGTGGAGATCGAGCTCAAGCGCGCGCACGTGGACATGTACGTGCGGAAGCTCCGGGAGAGGCAGCGGCGCAAGGACATCGCACGCGACTACAGCCTGGTGCCCGCCTTCCTGGGCAAGGACAAGAGGGAGCGCGAGAAGGCGGCCAAGCGCAAGATCACCAAGGAGGAGCGCGAGCTGCGGCTGAAGCTGCGGCCGCTCTACCAGTTCATGTCCTGCAAGGAGTTCGACGACCTGTTCGAGAACATGCACAAGGAGAAGATGCTGCGCGCCAAGATCCGGGAGCTGCAGCGCTACCGGCGCAACGGCATCACCAAGATGGAGGAGTCGGCCGAGTACGAGGCGGCGCGGCACAAGCGGGAGAAGCGCAAGGAGAACCGGAACTCGGCGGGCGCCAAGCGCGGGCGGGAGGACGCCAAGGACGGCGAGTTCGCCGCCATCGAGAACCTGCCGGGCTTCGAGCTGCTGTCGGACCGCGAGAAGGCGCTCTGCAGCTCCCTGAACCTGAGCCCGGCGCGCTACGTGACCGCCAAGACCATCATCATCAAAGACCACCTCCAGAAGCGCCAGGGCATCCCCTCCAAGAGCCGCCTGCCCAGCTACTTGGACAAGGTCCTCAAGAAACGGATCCTGACCTTCCTCACGGAGAGCGGGTGGATAGCCAGGGACGCCTCCTGAGGCCGGCGGAGCGGAGCGCCTGTGAGCCAGATGACTGGGGCAGGGGGAGGGGACAGCTCCGCTTTTTCCCGTTGTTTTTCAGCAAATTGAGTTCCTTTGTTTAGGGTGTAAGTTCTCGTGGTCCTCTGGAGGAAGCAAGAGTAACCATCCGAGACCAGGCAGGAGGGACTGATCAGGCACAGTGAACCTTGGTCCTAGAGCAGCGCGTTCCGAGGGCGGGGACGCGCCTGAGTGCTCAGTGAGGAGGATGTGATGGTGGGAGCGTCCGGGGAGCCCCTTCCCTGGGCTCACCTGTGCTGGCCGCCGGCTGCCAGGCCTGCCTGGTGACATGGCTGCAGCATGGGGCACTTTAGATGGCGCCGGGCAGGTGGGCAGTAAGGCCAGCGGGCAGGGTCAGGCTTCCTTGGACCGTGAGAAGAGGCTGGTAGTGAACAGACCAAATGAGCTTCCCCTTAGCTGTGGCAGTGGCAATGGCAGGGTGTGGGTTTGCAGTTCCCAGGCCCGAAACAGCCCCTTTTGCACCTCTGGGCAGCGCCCCCTAGTGTGGAGAGTGGCTGTGGGGAGCATGGCAGCCAAGACCAATGCGATGGCCAGGACTGACCCTTCCTGGGGGCAGCTGCTGGCTGCCCTTTGGACTTGCGTGCATTTTACTTGCAAAACCTTGTTTTAGGGAGTTCATGGCTGTTGTGTCCTGGTGTTAGTGTCCTCCAAGGTGTTCGTCACAGCTGCAAGTACCTTTTCACTGAAACCCTGACCAGACCAGCCTGGCTAACATCTAACCTTCAGGTGGCCTTGCGCCCTGGAGACCAGCCAGGCGCCATGGGCCGGCCCCTGTGGCCGTGGGTCCCAAGGCCCTTGTGTTGCTGCTGAGTCACTCTCTGAACCAGACTCCCCATGCTCTGCCAGCGCCTCACAGGCTTTCTCAGGGCCTCTGACATGGTACCTCCCTCCGGCACTTGGTGGCCATTTGTCTTCCAGGCTGCTCAGGGTTCTCAGGTCCAAGACCCTGCTTAGGGTCAGTGGTGACTGCAGTGATGGAGCCATGACCTCAGAATGTGTGGGCTTGACGTTACATTACAGGGAAGTTTGAAAAAGTCCCTTATCATTTCCAAGGATGACCTAATTATGGTGCCTTTCCCTTTCTTACATCTCCTGTCCCCTAGGGTCAGCTCAGCATTAACCGAACAGCTCAGTGTGTGTGTGGGCAGAGGCTCCTCGCTCTAAGCCAGGACTGCTGCTGACAAGTGTGAGCGGTGGAGATAAGGGTGAGGGTCACCTCCTCTGCCCTGCTCGTAACTGCCCTCCGTGGAGCTGGTGTTGCCGCCACTGGCATGGAGGGAGGCAGTGCTTCCTCACAGCCTCTCAGCCGGAGGCCCTTGCCCAGGGTTCCTGGACCCAGCAGCACCAGCCCCCAGGCCCGGGCCCCTGGAGGCCTTTGGCCCAGCCTCCAGGTGGCCTGGCTGTAGCTGAGCTGGTGTCACGCATGGGTTCCTGTCACATGCCTCGTATGTAGTCCTGTTTTCCTATAAGGGCTGCCGGCTTCAGTAACTGGGAGGCAGGCGCCCAATAAATAGCTGTGGCCGGTGGACAGCTGCCAAGTGAACACGTGGTGCTGGAGGTTTGAGGGTGCCTCTCTTGATGGCGTGAAGAACTTATTTAGGCTTGGCTGTTTTAAACACCATGATGAATGTATAATTTATGTTAAAGTGTTACCTTGGTTACCAGGGGAAAGGGACTTTCGGATTGGTTGCCTTTATCCCATCCACTCCCTCCCGTTGCCAGTCTTTACCCCTGCTGTGAGCGCAGAGCCTTTACATGTCTATTTAATTTCCTAAGTTAGTGACCACAATCCCAAGAATTAGGTCTTCAAAATTTAAACTCCAACCTTTGAGTCCAGTTCTGTACTCGGCTATTCGGAATCCTCTGGATGCAGCGTTCCAAGAATGCGTTAAAGCCGACCTGACCGTTTCTACTGCCCTTTACTTATTAAACAAGTTGAGAACAAACGCATGTCCCTGACTGCTTCTTGGCACCTGCTCCAAAGCCTGAGGCCACCCTCCGGGGGCAGGGGGTGTGGGAGGGGGCAGCACAGGCACTTCTGTCAGACCAGCTGCTTCAGACTCAGACTTGCTACCGTTAAGCAGGAAACCTCATGCCAGCCCTGCTCCCTGAAGGGCACCAGGAAAGGCGTGTCCACGTAGGCCGAGTGCGGCCTGGATTGTCTACACTGTACATGTCTCCAGGTTGCACTGGCCAAGCTCAGCAGCGTGGATGGCCAACCACTAATTTCTAGTGTAAATCCGGATGGCAGGTGCTCAGACGTGCTGTACGATGTTGAGGTACATTTTATCTCGCTCATTTGTACCCATTGGCCTAAGGTAAAACTGGCTCCACTGTACGTGGTTTCCCCCAAGCCTCAGGACCCTGGCCTCAGGAGGATGTGCTGGGCGTGCTGGCGCTCTCCCCGCAGGGAGCCCGTGGCTGGGGCTAGTGAGGCGCTGGGTGCCCATGTGCCTTCAGCAGCCGTGGCTCTGCAGGGAGGGGGCTGCCCTCACAGGCGTGGTCTGAAATGACTCCTGCACAGCTTCCCCGGCGAGTGCAGGAGGGGAGGGGCACTCACAGCTCAAGAAAAGTGTTTGAAATTGTATATTGAAATTTTCATCATGGGAATAGTACCTCTTCAAAATCACCAGCCCAGTAAAATTGCCCCGTTTTCCCTGCACCCTTTAGGCCAAGGCAGGGGCGGCTGTTTTCGTTCCTAACAGACACGCCGGGCCTGTGGTGAGTCCCAGGCCAGCGTCCGCAGACTGTCCTGCTGTGGGTGTGTGGTCCTGGCATGGTCCTCAGGCAGACACCATAGTCCGCCCGGAGCAGGCCAGGCCAGGCCCACGCCAGCCTGCGGTGCACGGATGGGAGCAAGCACGTGCCTGCGCGTGTGTCAGGTACACACCCCAGTCATGCTCTCCTTAGTAAGGATTGCCACCAAGGTACACAAGAGACTTATCAGAAAGTAGGAAAATAAACATCGGGCTTTAATCCTCAAATAAAATTTAAAAACTAAATGACATTTAAAATTTACCAAGCATGCAGCCCTCAGGTTTTGAGAAAGACCATCTTACTAGGGACATACCTTCAGGTCACTAGTACCTAGCTGAGTATGAGAGAAACATTTCTGCACGTACTTGAACAAAATAGGACAAGAGTAAGTGATGTCGTCAAATCCGTCTTATTCTGGGGGAGCAGGGAGAACTGTTAAGGTGCCTCCAAAGAAAAGCCAGAAGTCGGTCACGGAGCAGCTGGATGGCGATTACAGGTGGACTCACAATGTCCTCCACCAAACACGTAAGTTTTCTGAGCAAGAACCAAGGTAAGCTGCCTTTCCTGCCTGAATGAGGTGCAGAGGGCTGAGACCTGCTGACACGCACGGACAGTGAGAAGCAGAAGGCGCACAGGGCAGGCGGCGTGGCCCGCTACCCAACAGCACAATTCCCGGAGACCTTTTATTCGTTTTAAATCCTTTGGTGTCATCAGACTGAGCAGATGTAGCATTATTCACGATACCCGAGGGCCCAGTGGTGTCCTGCTCTGTAAGCATGTGAACTATCAAACGTGTATTGAAAATCAATAAACAGGCTCCCAAATTAGAGTCCAGTAACAGCTGAGCAATGGGCCCTATTTCCTGGTTAGCCGCTGGTTACTAAAGCTTTCCAACAAGGTTTGGAGTATTCACAGACGAACCAGCCCTTAAGAGTTACAGCCAGTGATTACCCACAACCCACCGAGCCTGGGGGAAGCTAGGCTTCCTTCACTACCCCGACCAGGGCGGGCCGCAGGGTGCGCCCGTGCAGCTTGTAGCCCACTTTGTTCACCAGCGCCACCGTGCCCGGCTCCCTGCCCTCCACCGGCGTGTGGAACAAGGCCTCGTGCTCATAGGGGTCGAACTTGGCGCCCAGGGGGTCCAGCCGGAGCAGGCCGTGCTTGGTGAACACCTTCTGGATCTGGACCTCGGTCATGACCAGCCCCTCATAGAGGTTCTTCAGGTGCGGGTTGTCCTCTGTGACCTCCTCCTTGGGAACGCTCTGCGTGGCCTTCTCCAGGATGTCTGCGACCTCCAGCAAGTCCTTGCAGAAGCCCTGGATGCCTGCACAGAGTCCGAGAAGAACATCTGCATTCCACCATGTCAACCGAGCGGCCACTCCAAACCAACCTCCATGGCCCGCCTGACAAATACGAACCCCAAAGCCTGTTCTGGGTTTGGACAAGAGCTACTGAGGTGTGAAGACCGGCAGCTGGAAATGTGCAGAACCACCCCCGCCCCTGCTCCAGCCCTGAGAAACTGCCTGCTCCGCAGACCGCCCCGCTCTGCCCCGCCTGGGCAGACAGCACGGCCTGGGGCACGTCACAGTGACTTAGCAGTCAGCCTCGCTGGGTCTCAGCCCTTCAGTTGTAAAGCGGGACGGTCCTGCCTCCCAGTGATGGTAGGAGGACCGATAGAGCCATGTATGCTTGAGTGCCTGGCACACTACGTGTATTCAATGTTAGTAACTTCCGGGCACTGTGGGGTAAGAGTTACCAAGACTTCGCCTTCATCTAACACACGTGTCAAACACAAGGCCCGCGGGCCAAATCCGTCCCGCCAGGCCTTGCAATGTGGCCCGCACCGCGCTGTCATCACTGCACTCCGCTGCGTTTCCATCACAATGACAGTTTATGACTGTTCAGTAAACCATTCGGCCCGCGATTTAGGCTGAATTTTAGATTTTGGCCCCTTGTCTGATTGAGTTCGACACCCCTAATCTAACAGGAGACAGAATGTTAGAAGGGTCACTCGAAATTCAAGGCAGTGTGTTACACAATGTTTGTGGTTTCAAAGAAAAGGCTCCGATGCCGACTGGAAGGCATGGCGAGCACCCAAACTGGTGCCTGCTTCCACCCAGGCCCCGCCTGCGGGAGCCAGGGCGGCCTCGGGCTAGTAAGACAGCAAGTGGGAGCCCAAGGGCCGCCGCCAGCTTTGTGATGAGTGGCAGGTCACGAAGCCTCAATGATCTCAACTGTAAAGTGGGAAGGACAGGGACATACTCAAAGGTGACAACCGACAGCCTCTGAGATCTTACGTGGTACCAACGTGGTTGCTGGTGATGCCAAGGAAACGGCACCAGAGAGGCTGACCTGCCGCGATTACCCGCGGGCCCACACCGAGGCTCCACGTGGAGCGAGGAAGCCTCCTGCTTACGACTCAAGCACCAGTCACAACTCCAAGTGTCTCCTTAAAGGGGGCAGGGGAGAGGACAGCCTGCAGCTCCCCCCGCTGACCTTGCTGTGGGAACATCCATACCACCCACCCTGCCCTCCGAACCCTATTTCCCAGGTCAGTATCACAATGGTGAAAGTTACCGTATAATTTTGCCTCCTCCACCAATTTTTGGGTCCTCTGCCGCAAGTTCTCGGTATCTGCCAAAGCTCGCTTATATTTTTCCTAAAAAATGGAAAAGGAAACTAATATGAATAAAGCATAGCACAAATTCATAGGAAAGCAAATCTGACACGACCAACCGCAAGTCAAAACACAGACAACACCTATTGTCATGTCTGAGGCTTTGGACTACAGACAGTGCAGCTTAACTCAGAAAAAGTCACCCCCGCGTCACCTTCCAGCGAGCGGGGAGTCGATGGCAAGGTGACAGATACTTATGTATCTCCACGGCCATTCTCACTCAGCGGCCCGCTGTGGGGAGAGAGAGAAAAGCGACTTTCTCAGGCCCTGACGGCCTCAGCACCCAGGAAGGACCATTCACTTCCTTAACCGAGTTCCCAACTTAGGGGCGCCCAGCAGCCTCACAGGGGCTGACCCACGGGTTCCCATAGGCCTGGCGGACACTTGCTGCGTGTAAGCATCTGAATTATGGGATCGTCCTGTCTCACCACTTGACTGTAATCTCACATTTTGCCTCAATCAATTCAATTTCTGAAGTGACTGGATTACTCTGGGGAGCCGGGTAGCCACTACAACCTGTTTCCAATCTTTGTTCAGGCAGGTCCAGTGCAATGGCCAAGAGCCAGGTCTCCAAGCTCAAACCCTGGCTCTGCACTCAGCAGCGAGGTGATCTTAGGAAGTTTACGTAACTGTCATGTGCCTCAGTTTCCTCATCTGTAAACAGGGTCTGTGAGGATCAGTATACATAAAGGCGCTGGAACAGTGTCAGCACCCACCTGTCTGGTATTGCCATTCTTAATCCTGAAGAAACGGACTATGCATCCACCTTACTGCCGAGTTCACAAACCGCTGCCTCCCCTCAGACCCAGCTCAGACAGCCATGCTGGTGTTCCTCGTCTGTAAAGACCAACTGAAATCTTAGCTCAATGCAATCTACGTAGCACGTAACGGCGAGTCTCATGGCAGAGCCAGAGCCGTGCGGGACTTGGGTTCCAGTCCCTTCTCTAGCAGGAGCATGCTGCAGGCCCCAGCCGAAGTCCTGGGACGAATTATGAACTCGCCTGGCGCTCAGCCAACCACCTTCCCTAAGAGCCTGTGGCCTTACCATCGTGTCCTTCAGCTGCTCCTCTAGCTTGGCCTTCTCCTCCGTGAGCGTCTTCTCTGCACAGGGCGCGTCCGTCTTCTGGTCCGTCTGACCCACGTCCTCTTCCAGGTTCTGGCCATTGTTCTTCTGCTTTGCAGCTGTGCACAGCAGCCGAGGCGTGGGCCTGGGGAAGCGCATGCAAGGCAGAGGTAAGGGCTTTCCATCCGAGGTAACTTCAGACTACCTGCCAGTGACTTGCTGGGGGAGAAAGGATTCTCCTTGCATATGATGTACACAAACTATTTGTAAACAGCTAGTACGAATGTGTCCCCAGGCGACCTGCCAGCTCCTCTCCTGTCCCGAGCACGTTCGTCCTCCAGGCCCCACCAGCACTGGTGGGGCGGCTATTGGCAGACGTGGGGCCCAGAGCCGACGCTGACCACCAAGGTGCTCGGGGCAGAGATCCTGCCACAGGGCACTCATGTCAC